ACACACACACACACACACAACACAACACAACACACACACACACACACACTTGTATATATACTCACACACCACACACACAGACACACACACATAGACACACATGCACACGTACATCTGCGCCCTAGTACACACACCCACAAGCACGCACAAGCGCTTACACGCGAACACAATATCCCCTTTATTTTCATGCAATATTTGCGCTTTTGCCAAAACATATTTGCTCGATGGAATGTCAACATTGCCTGAACTGCGTCTTTTAACCCCAGACGATTATTCTGTTTTTTGCTGAGCCAGCGATTTCGAGTGTATTATTTTTTTTTCTGCATGAAACCCTTTTCACGGGAGAAAACCGGTACAATGTCTAAGAGATTGTGTCCATCAATATTTTAAAGTTACTTCCCTTTAGCCGCTGGTTTTCTTGTTTATTCTCGTTCACTGGCTCAGTTCATAATTATGGTCGCTTTTAGGAATTTCGGGGGTTTCCCGAAACCTACATCAAAAGTGGACATTGCCCTACCTATAGGAGAAGTTTGGTTTTGTTGGTGTGTTTATTTGCTTGGTTATAGAGAAAACTCTCCATGTCTTTTAAAGAAACCTAACAAGGGTCCAAAAACTTTACTTTACATTTTCTCAAAACAGCATTTTTCGGGATAGCCCCCATGTGCTTAAAAGCGACCATATAATGTGATGTTTCATTTGCTCTTTTTCTACATGAAAACACTACTTACTCTTTTTTTTCTTTCTTTCATACTGTTACTATTGTTGCTTCTGTTCATTTTTTTAGATTTTATTTTTTCGCAATCATTGTTATTTGTTTAGGCAACCAACGTTACTATTGTTATTGTTATCTTTCTTGCTGGAGAATTCTTTCTCATTGAAATCCTTCTCAATGTTGTTGATGATGATATCACCGTTGTTGTTTTGTTGTTGTTGTTGTTGTTGTTGTTGTTGTTGTTGTTGTTGTTGTTGTTGTTGTTGTTGTTGTTTATGATAAGGATGTCGATACAAATAAGCAAACAAATCTGGAAAGCCTTTTTTGATGATCCCCCGATCACTATTAGGTTGAAATGTTTCTGTACATGGTTGACATTTCTTTGGTGCGGTTTGTTTCTTCTTTCCTATCGAACATCTATCGTCCTTATCTCTCCTCCTTTTTGTGTGTGTTGTTACTCTCTTGTAACGCCTTCGGTACGTATATGAGCTTAATGTGTTGTTAATTGTCGTAAAACACTTATTAAAACTAAAAATTCCTTTGCGAAATATGACCTTTTTGTGTTGCAAGTGCCGTAGAAGTCTTACTGAAACTAAAACGAATGTGTTTCGTTCTCTAAATTTTACTTTCTCTCTCTTCCCCCCCCCCCCCCCCCCCAAAAAATTAAATCAGGTACTCCCAGCTCCGCGCAGTGGAGAAGGGTTTGAATCCGGAGGAGGACGAGGGCCTGAAGCGGCGCTCGGTGGCAGACAGGATCTTCTCCATGCAGGCCAAGATCGAGGAGGAGAAACACTCGGCGGCCATTACACCAAGGTCAAGGTCAGGAATCTCCACACCCAAGTCCAAGCCAAGGTGAAGTAGAGTTTTGTTTTGTTTTTTAATCATCTTTTTACCTGACTTTCGTGCCCACCTTTGCTGCGTTGCACCGTTCGCTCACAGAATCACAGAAATTGATGTGCAGAGAAGTAGGAAGACATGGAATAACATCAAGAGGCTAGCCCATGATAGAGAAAGGTGGAAAGTGTTTGTCCGTGGCCTATACCCCGGTGCAGGGTGAGAAAAGCTATGATGATGAGGATGACAGTTAGCTCAGTTGCTATCATGCTGGGCTACGGAGCAATAAATGACACCTTGTTCGAATCCCCAACGTTCTGAACTTGTGTTGTTTTGGGGCAGTTTTTAAGAACCTTCAACCATTCAGTTGGATCCTTTCAGAGATGAGTGTTAAATTTGGAGGTCCCACCTCTTGAACAGCCTTTCATTTTAGGTAAATACTCTTGATATTATCTGTGCCGTTTTCAAATTATAGAAATAGCTTTTTATATTGTAGTGAAACGTCCGTTCGAACATGATTAAAGGTCTTTAGTTTAGAGGTGAGACCTGCGAAAGAACAGCCGTTCAGATTGGGCAACAGATACCTAGATACCTAGAGGTGTCACCTCTGACTCGAAGGTTGACATGTACTGACCCTCCCCATCCTTCACGGTCGCGAGCAGCCGTTGCACATTCTGCCACACCCAGGCCAGTCCATGCTCTTATGTTGTCCATTCATGTTATTCTCTGCCTTCTTGGACAGCAGAAGCTGACATTAAAAACTATCAGGGGCCGACATAGGTACTGAAACATGTGAATTCCGAAATTTTAAGATGAACTTGTGTTATTCAAACGAATGCAAAATCTGTAATATAGACATCGTTCTGTCCACGTCATCAGGTCTGGTTTGGCCACGCCGACACAGAGGTCAGTGGAAGAGGTGACCCCACAAAGGTCACCTAATTTCCCGCTGTCCCCTTCCAGAACTTTGTCTAGCAGCAGCAACGGCTCAAGTGCTCCAGTAACAGCTGGGGTCAACAACAGTAGCAACGGCAACAGCAATAACGGCGGGTACGTAGAGCAGTTTTGTCGCACAATCTGCTTCTCTTTGAGTGATTGGAAATGACGTGTTGTTGAGGAGCAGGAGGAGGAGATGGAGGAGGATGAAGAGAAAAAAAGAAGAAGATGATGATGATGATGATGATGATGAAGATAAAGAAGAAAAATGTGATACTAGTTAAGATAATGATGAGGAGCAAAAGGAGGAGGAGGGGGGGGGATGAGGATGATGAATTGTAATTGCATAGCGAGATTTTCTCGAAAGAGTAGAATGTTTAAAGCAAACACACACACACACACACACACACA